GAATTAGCTGCATCATCCCTTTGTCCCTTAAATAAGGGAGAGAGTGTTTTAGTCCTCCTTGTCCAGGTGACACCTTCTTCGCATTGCCCTTGCACGTGCTCACCTGCTGCAGGCACGTGTGGAGCCACACGGGCAGTGGAGCACGAGTGCGGTACCGACCATCTCCCAGCTGGTATCGACCTCTGCCCCTTTGCCTGCTGGTGGAGGTGCCCAGACCCCCCCTTGTGCATCCGAATGTCAGTCCGTGACTGTGGAGCTGCCATCGGAGGCAGTGAACAGGCTGCAGAAGGCTGCCTTCCCTCAGGGAGAAACACCTGAGCCTCCAGCTCTGCTGCCTGCGTGCGGGGAGAGGCTGCGAGGGACCCTCGCCTTCGTTCCTGCCCTCCTGCGCAGCCAGCCCCCACGGTCCCCCAGCCCTGTCTGTGGCTCCTGGCACCCTCTGCCCACCACGCGAGCGGCGCAGCTGGCAGCTCCCAGGGTGTGGTGGGTTCTTTGTGTGGCTCCGAGTTTATTTACGTGTCAAATGCTATTTATGTGTGTCATGCAATTTATTTGCAATAAGTTGAAAAATAAGAAGTTAATTTATCTTAAAATGAGTAAATTTTAACTACCTAGATTTTTCTGGCTTAGTAGCTGAAGACTTTGGTATTCTCTTATATTGAGCAGTATGTCTGTTTTCATTATGAACTGAATTTGCAATAAAGTACAGGATTTAATTTTGATATTAAAAGTGTTCTCAGGTAACATGTATTGCTAACTTTCTCTGTTTGGCCATAATGATCCAGTTTATCCAGACATTACAGAGAAGGTCACCTAAGAGTTACTCTACTGAAATAACAGCATATTAGTGAGACAAAGTGCCATTTACTAAATCAAGCCATAAATATGTCTTTTGACTTTACTGCTACCTTTTATTCCTCTTTCCCAGTGGTGTAGCTATGTCCTGACTATACTGCAGTACAAACATTCAAATTCTTTGATCAAACCTACTTCATAATTGTGTAGACCCTGATCCTATAGAGCCCTTCCATTCTTCACGTAGAAGCTTTGTTTCTTCACATAGAAGCTTTGTTTTGTATTATTCATTTAATTTGGAAGTAATGCTTTGTAGTCTGTTTATTTTGATATCCTAAAAAAGGTAAACAGTGTCCCTGTCAGGGCTAAGGCACAAAGGTTATCTGCAGAGTCTTGTTTCTGATGCCATAGCTGTTTGGTGGTGAAGATACGTATTTCTTTTTCCAGAACTCTGATTTTATTCATAATTCTGGAGAGAGAAAAAAAGTCTGTTAATTAAAAGCAAAGATTTTGATCTATATAAAAATGCCATGTAAAAGACATATAGCGAGAAGGTAGGATTGCATTTGAGTGTTTTCTGACATTGAAAATATGGCAGAAATGTTGTTCCTCAAAAATAAGATATGCTTCCTAAAATATGTTATATTTACGAGACATGGAAGATGTGGGGACTTGTGTTGGTACAGCAGTGATTTTAAACCTCCATCTGCCTTGCCTAGACCCTAGTAGCCATTAATTTATTTCATGTTCAGTAGGGCTTAGAAAATGCCTAGTGTATTTAAAATATTAAGTGGTTTAAAAAGAACTATGTAAAAGAAAGTATAATCATTAGGTATAGAGAGAATTACAGTAAGAAGTTTTTGAGTACTTTCCAGGAGGACCCACAAGCTCAGACTTGCCTGAGAGGTTTCCACCTATGTCTCTCCACCGTTTTTTTTTTTTTTTTCCTGATTCATTTGAGAAGCTTCCTTATCTGTGTGTTGCTCAGTAAAGGGTATGCCATCTGCATATTATTGTGAATTAGAGGATTCATCCATCTACTATCTTAGATAAGTACAGCTTTCCTGCAGGAATTTGTTAAATTGTGTAAATTTAATTCTCATATCCCTTCTGGAATATTGAACAAAACTCATTCTATGACTGCAGAGCTTGAAAGCAGAAGGGGCAGTAAACTAATATAATTAATCATTTTGTCATTGCTACAGAATAATGGACTAATTCTCTTCCTAATTTCCAGTTACTTATCATTTTAAATCTCACAGGGAAAGCAGCACTGTATAGAAAGCAACAAGGAACAACCAATTAAAAGTGTTTTGTTTCATCATCTTAAGCAAGAGTAACAGAACTGAAGAAACTCTGGTTGTGATTTATTAGTTGCATTTGTTCTTTGAGTTTTCACATACAGCTGGGTATTTCACTGAACTGCTTCACGTGGAAAAAATAATGAATTTCCCCGGATTGACTTATTTTGTGCATCAAATTTTAGTTTTTAAAAAACACTCAAGTACACAGAATAATTGGCTTGAGTTAAAACGGACAAAAGAAGCCATCTAAACCTTTTAGTTAACTGTGAAAAAATTAAAAATTCCTACAATTACAAAAATTCAGTTATCATCTGACACTCTGTCCTAATTTGGGCCATTTAAATTAAATACTTACATTTTACTTACAGGACTGTTTCGAATATTTAGTTCACAGCTGAATTCCACTCTGCCAGTACAGGTTGGTGAGTATATCCTTTACCAGCTCATCATTTTAAATATATCTACTGCCTGTCACTAGTTTTGGTGCAAGACTGTGGGCTCTACTAAATCTTTGCAGGTTTGAGTTTAGACTGGCACAATAAAAGTGACCAATACCTCTGACGTCTCCTACTGGGATTGGAATCTGGTTGTTTTTAGAGACATTCAGTCCTTTTCTGGTAGAGGCAAGGAGAGAGAATGAAGAAGGTGAAAGAGAACAAATAGGAATGAAGCACTGCAAAAAATTCAGAGATAGCTAAGGAAGGAACTGGAAAAAAAACATCCCTGAAAAGACTGTCTGGAGCCTGTAAAAGATGCAGCTGAGTATTCGAGGAGATGAAGGAAAGGCAAAGTGGGAATGCAGGAGGGAATAGGATGTGCTGGATAGGAACAGAGAAACAAGTTTCTGGGTGTGTGAGATAGGACTCCATGGGATAAGTAGGACAGAAGGAGAGAGGGCTAGTAATATCTGACAGGAGTGAATAGAGGAGGAAGAGAAACTGGTAGTTCCTGTTGCCGTACAGAGTTCAGCATAATTTCTGCCAGCAAGCTGGAAAGCATTTAAAGGCTGAGCTTTCAACTAAAAATTCTCATTAAGCAGAGGCCCAGTAACCGCATCTGAAAGGTTAGAAGAAAAACAGCAAACAAGGCAGCATTTTTTCCACTGGTTTTCACACAAGTACAGCTAATTGAACTGAACCTAGAGGAAGTACTGACTTGAACTTTTTTTTTCTTGAACAGGATTTCAGCATGAACTGTTTGTTGCTTTGACGTTTTGTTAATCTGGAACAACTTTAGTCACTGCTGAACTCAAATTAGAACCTAACTGATTAATTAACCTGTTTGACCCTCTACTTAAATGTAATACATTCAATACCAGTTCTGGGCAATACTGTTTTCTGCCTTCCCCAGTTCAAACCCACTTACTGTTTATCCTGCCCAGATTCCTTCCAGCCTCCTGGTTTTTGAATGAGGTGGTGCTAGAGGTTGTAGAAGACCTTCTGGTGGGATGAGTGGGAGGAAATTTCTAGGGTTTGGGCTGTGGGAGTAACATTGCTCAGAGTTCTCTTTTTTTGGTATTTCTCTCTTTTTACTTCCATCCTCATGACAAACTTCACGAAGGGAACAGAGGAATGACCTACCTGCCTGTCAGACGCTAGGGAGAGTATTTCTCCATGTTCTGTTGTACTGCTAAGCCAGCTGTCCTCTGTGCCTAATTGTTGGAGGAGCACTGCTGTCACAAGCCATTTGGAAAAAAAGTAACAGGGGTCATGTGAGTTTTTGTCTAGAACTGTCACCAGATGTTTAAAACATTTTAAAGAAGATGCTGGGAAATTCATATAGAAATTGCTGTGCAACAGTTCATGCCCGTTACCTTGTTAGCAAACTTGAATGCTGCACAAGCAAGCTTTTTGAGTTTGATTTTTACTTTACTCTGTCTGGAGAACATGGTGAAAAGTGCCCATTTTTTTATTTTAAGAATAGTCTTAAAGACTTGATTGCTCTTTGATCCTAATATTGTGTTGAAGGTAGTTCAAAGTTATAAGGAGTTATGTATGCTGTATCTTAATGAAATGCTTGTCTGAAATGGTACTGATAGCCTGCTGTGAAAAAATCAATTTGCCATCAGCAAACTGAATGTACTTGCTGCTCAATTTAGTTCACCCAACTATTCCACGTTCTTTACCTATAGTAAAACAAAAGGGTCCTGAGAATTAATTACAGTGTTAGCATCTGCTCGTGGCAGCTTTGCTGATATATTTAGTAGAATAAGATAGTTAAGGCAGGAGTGAGATGGAGTGTAAAGTTCTTCCCACTGCCATTTCTTATGCAAATGTCTTTTAAAGGACAGGCCCCTCTCTTGATTCCTATACATACTTTTCCTTTTTGCAGTAGAGTATCCAGTTGTATATAAAATCAGCAAATACTGATTGATTCCAAATAATTTGTGTTATGTGACTTTTTCGTGGTTCATATTGCTATAAATATTGCTGGCTGCAGAGTGGAGTATTGTTTATCTGAATGCTGATAATAACGTTTCTTACTTTAAAATAAGTTCCAAACTTTTTGGATCAATAGATGAATGAGAGGTTTGCTGAGATTACAGGATCCTGAGATTCCTGATGTTGAATTTCGTGTTATTGTAATTCCAACCTGCTGTGCCAAGTACACTGTGGAGCAACCTTGAATGCCAGACAAGCATACTTTTGTGTTGTGCAAAATCTCGTTTGACAGTTTCATCTTTATTAACATTAAAAAGTGTTAGTGTGCTAACATGCCAATCTAAACTGAAGTTTTATTGTGCTAAACAGAGACTGAGCTGCAACACAAGCCCACAAAATATTTGTAAAGTTAGGATTTTAGTATTCTATAATTTTGTATTTTAAGGCATATTCAGGTAAATAAATCTCTCTTGCTTGAGCTAGAAGAATGATCCAGGTCCTGTTCTTTTTGTCTAGGCTTTTTCTTTTTGCTGAAACATCATGAGGTATAAATTACCTTTGTTGAAATGCCTGAGAAAACATGATCTCTCAAACCCAAGAGATTTTCATTATTCGTAAGTTCTCTGTAATTTCTGTCATGTTGGATTTGAAACATGTTCATTCCTATCACTGTATTTTGGAGAAGGTCATCTTAGATTTCTGTGGGAAAGTGCCTGAAATTCTGTCTTGTCATGAACAATTGTGATGCCAGTAATGGTAATAGGGTTAGTCCTATTTGCGTTGGAGAACAATTTCAGTTCATGTAATTGTAATAAAACCCCCTAAGTTTAGTGAAATAAAAACAGGTTCATTGTCTAATTTGAAAGAGGAAAGTTATGACCAGAACTAGTGGGAATTCTAAATGTTTTTAATATTTATAGTTCCATATTTTCTGACAAGCTGCAAGCACAAATGGCAGAACACTGCTTGCATGGCTGAAAGTGTGATATATGCTCTAA